TTTAAAAAGAATCTTTGCACGTATGTTAACAACAATCACTCAACTTAACGCAGCTTTGTAACTTAACGCGAAAATGTCGCCTCTCTCAACGCGTGTAATTGATAGACGAAAGGAAGCGAGTTTTTTTTGGGTAAGCCATGGATCATTAAGTATTTATTGTTCCTGTCGTTAAGATTAAAAGACATGATATTTTGTGAAAAACGTGAGTTAATAAAACACGCTAGATTGATATAGCGCGATTCAAATATTGACAGCATGTTTACTAACTCTCAAGAAAACGCAATGGCATTCACTAAATTTGGTAAAGAAAAAACTTGCTAAAGATCACCATACTTACTTAGACGATAAAAAAAGTCAAGCAAAAGTTGTTATTTTTCATAGTCAATAAAACATTACGAATCTAAATATAAACATTAGTTTGTAGTTATCGCGATCTCTGTTATAACATACCGACTCACTAGTGTCAAATTCTACCCATGTCGCCAAAAGAAAATTGAACGCGTTTTAACTCGTTTAAGTGCGTTTCAATTTTTTTATAAGGGTTTAAACGCGGCTATCGTACGTAAACGCAGTTAGTCGCATCCATTCTGAAATGTAAATTCTTTATCACTACCAGAATCCAACGAGCATCTCATGAGTCCTGATAACAAAGAATTTCTTCTAGTTTTCTTTCCCGGTTTTTGAAAGAAAAAATCATATAATGCAGACTTGCATGGTGCACATTTTTTGATCCTACGATTTTGCTCTAGGATGCTTTCCTGTTGCACTAAGGAGCAATTCTCGCGAGAGATGTCATTCCTCGTCGGATCTGTGAACATGTTCTTATCTAAGAGAGACACCTCACCTGTCTATTAATTTACTCTTCTGTAGTTTATAAAAAGATCGATTAAATTTTAATGCAAAGACAATAATAACAGAGCCAAAACAAATTTTTTATGTAAGCGAATAAAACAGTATTTTTCATATTTATCCTAATGGGAAAACAAAGTCTTAAAAATGTCACTTTGTCTTTACCATTTGCTCTATTTTACTGAATGGGTCTTTAATCAAGTACACATGGTCAAGTACACTTTTGTTTTGTCGATTAGTCGCCTTTATAGTGAGAGTGAATATATTAGAACAAACATTTGAGGATAAATAACAGTTTCATAGAAGTTCATAAAGAAATTATGCTTATTGAATTATTGTGCAGAGTTAGTAATTAAACTCATCGTTTTCAAGCAATAAACAATTAAAGACTATAACTAAACGTCGAAATATTTTATATTACATAAATTTACAGATGAAAAAGAAATACGCAAGAAAGCGACAGTAATATGACTTGGATTATTTTTAATTCACATCTTCGTCTCCTTTTTCTTTTCTGTGTTTTCCCATAAAAGCAACCGTTTAATAATTCTTCTTCTGTAAATACAACATGAGCAACTTTAACTGCATAACGAGAAACATTAACAGCAGTGATTCTCATTAAATCAACATCATACACGATCTCAAAGCATAAAAGAAATGTTTAGATAACAATTAATTTGACTTATTTAAATTCATCACATACCATTGATATACGTTCATCTAATACAGGTGTACGACAAAAACCATTCATCTAGAATAAAAATTTCGATGAATTCAGACTTCCGTCTTCTTTTTAAGGAGAATATTCATAAACATACTTACAATATTAGAATTTTGACATTGATTCAATTTCTTAATTGTTTTATTCAATATACGCATTTATTTACATACATCAGTTAAATCAATATTAGAACATTTACGACAAGACGATGTTTCTTTTACTGATAAAGTAGACTGATATGCTTGATTCTGTACATGGACGTTTATCTAAAAATAACCAAAATTTTCACATAGTTAAGCAATTCTTATTTTTACAGGGTGCCACTAAATAAACGGAACACCTACATCTATCTTGTTTTAAACGCTTTTTCTCTACAAATTTTTATTCAAAACCTAGCAAAACAACTGCATCTCTCAAATTTCGTTTCATATTTATACTAAAAAATAAAAATATAGTCAAATTTGTTGAGAAAAAGCGTTTAAAACAAGATAGATGTAGGTGTTCCGTTTATTTAGTGGCAGGGTGTATTGGCCTAAAATCAAATCATTCAGACACTCTACATATATACTCAAAGTATACAAATACAATTTTAGAAATACTTTGCACATGTGAGCTTCTTATAGACTTCTATAATGTCAATCTGAGATCGCATTCAGTATGTTTTCAGTTGCTTTATTTGGGTGTCACCTTTAAAAAGTGAAACCGTAATTTTTCATAAACGAAGATGTAAGTTTAAAACGTTTGTCAGAAAAGTGATTATTTCTGTAATTCCACATTTTTTATTCATACGAACGAACATTTTTTATATAACTCATGTGCTTTTCTAACAGTTTTCAACATGAAATAATTTATATGCAGATACGCATGTACGTCTGTGTATGACCCAGAAGGAGAAAACACTATATCGTCGTCACTTCATATCGGTTAATTAAGTGAGCTGAAGTGGTGATGTAAAGTGAAGCGAAGATGAAGTAAAGCGTAGCGATAGCGAAGTGGCAGTGAAATGAAGCGAAGTAATAATAAAATGGAGCTGAATTAGAGCTGGATTGCAGTAAAGTGACTTGGTGCTTTTCCTCCTTAATATCCACATTATTGCACATATTAGGTTCTTGTTCACTTAATACTCAAGTTTTTATCAAAAATTGTTATTCGTTAGGCGTTTTTCAAAATAAGCCCTTCTTTAATAAGAAAAATTACTTTTATTGTTAACATTTTAGTATAAGTAAAAGTTTACCATATCATACAATGGTAAGCTTTTCGTCTGTTAGAAAATCTCTAAAAAAAATTTATATTTTTATTAATAGGTTATTGGATAGGAAAGAAGATACCATGTTTTCGAACATTCTCTAATTATATTGAAAAACAAATGTATGATATAAAAACGAATGGAATTAGTGTTAATAATAATAAAATTCTGGTACTAATAGCATTTGTGACAGGCGATATGCCAGCATTATCTAAAATGTCGAATCATGTTGATCATACAGCTTATTACAGTTGTATGTGGTGTTATGTAAAAGGTCAATATTCACATGAATGTCGATGTATTTTATTTAATGGTGGTATAAATGAACAACCAAGAACAGATGAATCCTATTTAAATGATATCTATAATGTACAAAGATACGGTTATCGAGATCATTATGGTGTTAAAGGAGAAGCAAATATATCATTATTAATTGATACAACAGAACCATCAACATTTCTTATTGATGGCATGCATACAATGTTTTTATGTCATGCAAAAAGCTTTTTATTATTTATACAAGACTCTTCAAGAAAATATTGATGAAATAAGTAAAAAATTGAAGCATATTTCATACATTCATGATATTCTTAGGCGAACAAGTTCATTAAGTAATGTCAATCGTTGGAAAGCATCTGAAATACGAGTATTTATTATGTATTTATCTATACCAATATTGTATGACTATTTACCAATATATTCGAATTGTGCGTTGGCACTTTATGTATTATTTATCAGATTTGTTCATGACTTTTGGCAAGGACCTGATTCATATGATGATGCTAAATTTTTATTAATTAATACATATGAAACATGTATAACAACCAAAAGTGTGCAGAATAAACCGTTATTTCCACCACGTTTATTAACAATTACAATGCATACACAACAGCATATACCTCAACAATGTGTAGATTCTGGTGGTTGTGAACACCGCGAAATTATTCTATTTGAAACTTTTTTGGGTAATTTGAAATCAAATTTAAAAGGTCCATTAGGTACTATTCATCAAATTGCATTTGCATATGCAGCTGATTTATATTTAAATCATAATTCACGTTCTGGAAATGACGATATATTATTGAATGGAGGTTTCACTATTGATCGTCAAACTAATACGTATAGTGCTAATATGATTGTAGATAAAAATGAAATAGAAATATTAAAAAAATTTAATTGATAAGAAATTAACTATTAGTAAAGCATCTATTTCATTTTTTACACGTTATCATCAAAATATAACTACATATCATTCGTTTTTTTATAAGAAAAGGAAAACATCATGCAGCTATTTAGTTAGTTTAACAGATAATAACATTGGATGGGTCATTTGCTTCTTACTAGTTAATCAACAAGCATATGCTATAGTACAATCATTAAAACATTGTGAAAAACAAACTATGTCAGACATTTTTGTAAATTTTCCTTATTATGATATTTTAAAAAGATATTTAGACAATATTTTTACATTATGCTACATTCAATATCCAGATGTACAAAGAACTGATTCATTCTTACTTGTGCCATGTTTAAAACTACGTCATCGGATTGTGTTTGTAGAATTCAGAAACTTGTTTTGTTGTACAGAATTTCGTTCAGCGTATCAGTGTAATTGAAAACATGGCGTAACAGAAAAACCGTTTGTACTTTTTCTTTTAAGCATTTGATTATTTTAAACACATGAATAGAGCTATTTTTTTCTATATTTTTATATTCCTAGCGAAAATATCTATCGATATACATTAAATTTTAACGAATTTGAATGCATTCTTGTATCACCACAGCAAGGAAAGGGGCCATTTTTTTGTAAACCTCTTAAGTCCTTTATAATATGTCTGATTGAGCAGAAAAGGTCATCCTAGACCAAACTTTTTGAGAGGAATAAAATGGTGATGTCCGAAAGGGTTTAAACCCATTTGAACTTCATTGGAAAAACATTCGTTCCAGTCTTCGATTTGTGTACTTTTGATTTAATCTGCATTTTATTTTATTTTATTTTTCTACGTTCAGCTTCCACTTTGCGGTTCTCCCTCAACAATCAACAAACGCTGTTTTTGGACGTATATCAGTAAAATATAGACAAAATGCTATTGGTTCAATCCGACCAATGGAAGCTACACGCCAGCGTGCGACACGCCAGTTCACACGCAAAATGCTTTTACCCGAATTTGGGCTTCAGACGTTGCACATTTAGACGAGCGACTCCATGCTCTACATGACGCTAAAAAACGCGAATCATAAGTTTGTGTTCGGTAGTACAAACGAGTTCATAAGAGAAGATGAGGCAATATTTTTTCGAGTCTGCATTATGTTTTTCTGAACTAAAGGTCGTAGTCTCTATGAATGGCAGAAAACTATGCTTTCGTTCAAATACAACTGGTCGCCGCGTTTCAGCCATTAGTTTTGCATTAATGATCGCGTTAATAGAAAATATTTTGAGGGACCGATTCCTCAACGATTTTTACTGACGTATTTCTTCTACTTCTGGAGCGCATAGTCAATTTTAATTGATGAATAAAATATACGTTTTAACAGCCATAGAGCGAGCTATGTTAAGCAGAGTCTTCTGATTAAAACAAGATGTCCTGCAGGCTTGTACGAGCAGAGTTATACTAGTTTTGCTAAAGGCGCTGATTATAAAATTATGAAGTGATGACGTCATTGCTTATAACATGGTTTTGGAGCGGCAAAATTGTATCTCCTCCGAGACAATTCATCGCAAAACCTTCATTCTCTTTTGTTTTGAAGTTAAGACATTTATCTAAATTTTGTCCGTAGCGATTTTTGAATTTCGTTTTCTATCCAGAGAAAAGTGGAGAATACCCTTCGAGTTTAGGGTTATTTTCAGAGTTCTAACTTAAAACTCGTGTAGGGAATGAACGGAAGCGAAATTCAAAAACCGCTACAGACAAACGTTAGATTTAGGTGTCTACTTTCGTTCGAGACCACCTGAAGCTTCCTGTTCCTTCCAACAAAAAGTCTTACCGGTTTTCCTAAGGGCTCCATTTTGTTCCTTGTCACGCAATAACTCCGCGACGCTTCAAGGTTTCGATCTCAGATTTTTAGCATATGCTAGTGGGACAGTAAGCATTAGTCACTGTAAGCGCCATTGAAATCGGATGTGAGATAAAAAAGCTTTTACTGAGGTGATCGGGACCCTTAAGCAAAGAAAACGGTAAAATGCCCCAATTGACCCTAAAATTCTTTTGTTATCTTCTATGATTAACGCGAAATGATTAATACAAATAGATTTTTACCATGCTTAAAAGAACAAAAAGAAGGATGTTTCCATATTAGCAAAAGAAAAGAAAGAATTTGTTCACATAAATAAAAATTTTTTCTTTTTCCTTTTTTATGATAGTGACCACAATAAGTAATAAATTTCGTCGAAAAAAACAAGTAACAAAATCTTATTTTGTACTATCACCACCAATCAATCGATACTATCATCAATCAATCAACCAATCAATACCATCGTCATTATTAACTCATCAATTATCATCATTAACACGGCAGTAGAGCATTGCATGCAGCAACATATTTTGGTCATAAATAAATTGTTCAATTGTTATTAGATAATAGTGCTGATAAAACAATTAAAAATCAATTTAATAAAATTCCCTATGAAGAAGCACAATCAGGAGATAGTAAACTACTCTTAACAAACAAAAAATATTATGAAATTTCATCAAAATCGATTCCAGATTTAACAACAATAACAACAACAACAACAACAAACCATAGTGAATTTTACTTATTATCCTGTGATGGTGAGACATACGGCGCAAAAAAATATCTTCAAGAACATCCATTTCATAATACTGACTATATTGAACCAAATAACACAACGGCACTACATGTCGCTTCTTATAACGGCCATCCAAAAGTTATAAAATTATTATTTAAACATGGTGCTGATCGTTTAATTAAAAATAAATATAATTTAACCGCTCATGAGGAAGCGAAAACATGAAATAAAACAATTATTTCATGACAGTGACAGTGAAAGTGTCGATTATAATCATGATGGATCACCATATAAACAACCAGCTAATTTTTATTTTGCATGTCGTAACAATGAATTAGATGTGGAGCTATTTATCTACAACTTCGGATAGAACGTAGTATTTTTTTTGAAATCCTCTCTCTCTTCTTCATACATTGCTCGAGAGAGTATTCCTACCGTCTTCTTCGTTAGACTGAACATTCTCAATGGATAATTTCTAAAGTTAAACAATATCTTAAACTAATGTCAATTGAAGATGTTAATGAAATACAATCAAATGATCCAACAGCTCTACATGCTGCCGCTTATTATGGTCATCTAGAAATTATTCGTTTACTTATTAAATATGGTGGTGATCTTTCGATTAAAAATAAATTCCATAAAACTCCACATGATGAAGCTAAAACAGAACAAATAAAAGAATTATCAGAACGTTCTGTTAATGAAATAGCATCCTATAATAATCATTTATTTAATGATTGTTGGTTAGTTGTTGATAAAAGAGTTATTTATATAGCAGAAACCAATCGAAAAAATAAAAGAAATATATGAAGAAACAGAATTTAAAGAAGTAGTAAGACGTATTAGAATATTTTATATTGAAAAAGAATTATCAGGTCTACAAGGTTATAAAAAAATTGTTTATTATTTTAATCAAGCTAGAATTCAAAATAGCGCCATTCCATTAGCTAAAGCATATACAACTGAAACATCATTTTATAGTAATATAAATCAAAATTTAGCTAAAGAGGAACCATTATTTAATACAAATTTAGAACAATTTTATTACACAGTTTGCTTCACTTTCAAGAAATTGAGTCTTTTTTTTCTCCTGCATCTCAGATAAATAAAAAAAACATAAAAAAATTTCGCTCCTTATTGTTTCCACAGGTATCGTCAAATGAATTGATGAAATTTGTTTTTTGTGGATGAGTCTATTGGAAGTTCTATTGGCACTCCCAGGCAAAAACTCCACTGAATACTGGAAATTTTCCTCTTATTACACGTTTTTGTTATACCAATTTTCATGTGTTAAATTTTCAACTTTTTCACTCACTCTCACTATCCACCTGCCCTGCTCCCTCCTGGATAAGCGAGATGCCCGTCAAAATGCGAATATATAATCCGAATCTTGTAAGTCAAAGTATAGTTCGGGGAACGCTCAAGCATCGGGCCGCTCGTTTGTCAGATGTCTTTGTCGACACTCCCTGAGAGTGCCAATATGCTCATCCAAAAAAAAAACAAATTTCATCAATTCATTTGATGATACCTGTAGAAACAATAAGAAGCGAAATTGTTTTATGTTTTTTTGATTTATCTGAGACGCAGGAGGAAAAAGATACTCAATTTCGTGAAAGTGAAGCAAATCGTACAGTGTATTGCATACCTACAATAGGAGAAGAACAAGTAGGAGAAAGAAAGAAATGAAGGTTAAATAAACATATTTTAGTATATCCTGAAGTAGTATTACAACTTGTTGTAATTAATTTTCATAAGCCTTGTCATCATTATTTCTTTACAATTCTCAAAACAGGCTCTTATTTTGTTAGTAAAAATAGTTACCTACTGGATTAAGGAGGAAGAGAAACAGACTATTAAAACAGAACAGCTTGGTTAAATGAGAACATGAAAACAGAAAAGGAGAATGAAGTAAGAATCCCATAATCTACAATATGTTTCGTTTTCACGCAAAACCAAAAACATCTTTTTTCGATGATATTTATCTCAAAAATATTTTTTGATGTTTTCGAACTGTCTGAAGTGCAAAACCCCGAAAAAACTTTTCGAAGCACCAACGCATCTGCTTCAGAAGACGAAAAAGCAACATTCCTAAGTTGTCCGATAATTAGGACAATTCTCTTTTGAAGGTATCACCGCCGGAGGCTGTTATTAACTAGATCGATCAGTTCTATTATATGTCTGTCCTGGAGGCGTAGATAGTGGGCGATTATCAAACAGTGCAGTAGATGTTGGTTGGTGTTATTAAGAATTATATGTACTATTGTTAAGGGTCTCTACTCAGTTTCTACCGGACAGTTATATAGTCAATATACTAGTGCTTCCTATTCTCCATTTGAGTTTTTAAGTTTTCATTTTCTGTTACAGTTATCTGTATTGATTTGATAAGGACCATAATAGGCTGAAATATGTCACAACATAAAAGAGTGTTGCCATTTCACGTAGCTGCATTAACTACCTGTTGTGATGTAACTATGTGTAACTATGTGATGAAGAAGAAAAGAACGATAATATTTTATGATGTACTATCTATAATGATATTTTTGTCAAAGCAAACAAGACTTTTACAACACACACACGGCAGGAAATGTAGTATAAATACTTCACGTGAAGCAAAAAAAGAGAGACGGTAAGCCTGACCTAACAAAAATGCTGGTGTATCTGCTTTTTACCATAGAAACAGTTTTTCGTTGCTTTTGATAGAAATTTTTACGCATTTTCTGGTAAAGAGCCGTTGCACCTTTCTTTTTTCGCAACACGCCTTTCCTTAGCGAATCTCATTTTATCTTTTTACTCTACTTTGCCTTATCTTACCCAACCATATCGTACAAGTTGTGAGGGTCAATAGCCGCTTATTGACAGTCCCAACAGGTTGCCGATAGCGCCCAGTTGTCTATAGCCTCTGACAGCGGGAGTGTCAGAGGTGTTGCAACAGCCGCTTAGTGGCCCTTCTGACAGTTTTTTGTTTGAAGTTGTCGATATCTCCTAGCTGCCAGTTCCGGGTATGACAGTAATTCATGTTGACTCGTCTGGGAGTGGCAATAGCCATTTCGCATCTTTAATTTACGGTGTTAGCTAAGACTCAACAAGCTCACGGATTAATTCTAACTGTACAAGCGCAAGGACCATGATATTTCATGTGTGCTGCTTAACAACATCAGATCGATATATGGAAACATTAGCTAAAGATAGTCGACTTCTTGGAATTTTAAGCATAAGACGGATATTTTTGTAAAGGCTTTTACTAGTGCTTCAGGATTTTTTCTATCTTTGTACAAGCACACAAATGCGTGAGCAGAACTTTTAACATATTAGTGTTTGATCGAATAGTATGAATTTAGTGGGTAATGCTAGACTGATGACCAAAAAATATTCATTTTACGAAAGTTGGAAATGAAAAAGCCTTCTTGTGCGACGCGTTTTCATATTAACAAACTTGTCACGTAAGAACTTTTCTTAAATACGACAAAAGATGATATGATAAGACTGTGGCTCCATAGCTAAGGTGGTTAGAGCCTTGACGTGGACTATCATGTTCACATCCAGTCGAGTCATATTTTCTTTCCTCCAGTTATAACGTCATCGCAGAAATGAGAAAAATATAAGGTGTAAAAAAACTCTACTTATAACAAGTAGTATAGAGTTCGAAGATCCACATAGACTTTTACTAATAAAGCGAAAGAAGAGTAGAAAGGCCATTACACTAGTGACTCACTCTCAGCACCGACCCCCTCCTCGCACCCTCACCACTAATAGTCATCTGACATGCAGAGTAAAGTTCAGAACTAATGCAACATCAGTTTGAAAGTCTAACTCAGATGTGAAACGAAAAGTCTAAGAGTCTGAATATAGCTTTCTGTTTTCTCTCGTTTGCTAAACTTTTCAGACTTTTGAGAATTCTGAGTGAATCTTCGAACTTTACACATATGCTTACAACCGGAAAATAGAGGCATTCGGCATCTACAAAACAGCTATGAGTTCTTTTCATCTCTCAAAAGACGAATGAATAAACGCAAGAAAACTATTTATTTATATTTCGAAAGGTTGTACAGTTCGATAGGCCACGCCGGGATAACTCCCTTTATGGGGTCACAAACGTAAAAAAACTAATCAAAATTGAGTTGCAAATTTTTTTTTCTATAGGTTTTGACGGGGAATAAAAAAGTATTTCGAAAAAAACCTTGCCATAAATGCTGCAAAAACGGTGCATGATAGAAAGAATGTTTTGCTATAAAAACTGTGTGCAATGATCGACTACAGGGGTAACGTTGTCTGATTTTCAAAATGTTCTTCTATACGTTTTTAATTTGCATTCTTTTAAAACTTAAAAAATTTAAACTTCATCTTTTTCAAAATTTTCCCACCTGCTCTGAAAAACAGACCCCGTCGGGGGGGGGGGGGGGGGGGGGCGGGGGGGGGGGGGGGCGGGGGGGGGGGGGGGGGGGGGGGGGGGGG